AAGAGATTACTGCATTTGAGACCCACTACTTCATCATGACATATAAAATTCTAGAATGATAAATTCGTTAACAACATCACAACAGAAGATATGTCTGTTCATTGCCCATAACAGAAGTGGAAACTGAAACTTAGATAACTCCCATGCATGTGACAATTTCTGCAATGAAATCCCAGAACCTAAGATGGATGAGGCCAAAAATCTATCTAGTCCAACATCCTGTTCTCACAGCTATCAAAGGGATGCCCATGAAAGTCCAAGAGCAGGGCAGGAAGGCACAGAAGCCTCCCACTGCTCCTCAAGAACTGGTATTCAGGGGCAGCCTTCTACATGTATATGTAACATGCTCAACTCCTGGATGTACCATGTAACTCCTATGGCTAACTGTCATTGGTAGCTCATGTCTTGTAAATTTGTCTAATCTACCAAAGCTGCCCACGCTGGCAGCCATTGCTACATCTTGTGGTAGTGAATTCCAAAGCTTGGCAATGCACCCTCTGAATGGCCAGGGGTTCCAGTGTAACAAACGAAGGAGACAAACTTCTCATTATTGATTTTCTCCATATCATGTAACTATTTATCACTCGATCTAGTCATTGTAATTTATCTTTTTCTAAGCTATTAATGCCTCAGTCCTCAGCTTCAAACCCTATTTTTGACACAAGGCCACAACACTATAGCCGGTACAAAAAGCAAAGAGGAAGATAGTGAATAATATTCATAATACCTTTCCCTTATCAATCAATAACAATGGTTATCTGCTACAGATGAAAGATTAAGGAGAAAGAGCTATAATGCTGATAATATGCTTTAAAATAATCCTTTGCTTTCAGTGATGGCCAGCTTCCAAAACAGTTTGCAATTAACATTTATATAGCATAACTGCCTATGAGTACAATATATTGTATATACTGTACAGTATTATTATACTAAATAATTGGTTTTTATGTGGGTGGGTGTTCATATGTGGATTATTCGGGTGGTAAATAGTTCGGTACATAAAGATAGATACCCCAGAGTGGTGAGTGGATAATATGATAAACTAGGACTCAGAAGACCTGGGTTTGAATTCCTGCTCAGCCATGGAAACACAGTGGGATACTAATTTGAATGTTGGGAGAGTGAGGACAATAGAAAATATTTCTTTACCCAACGTGTTGTTAGTGGAACTCCTTGCCACAGGAAGTGGTGATGGCATCTGGCCTAGATGCCTTGAAAAGGGGATTGGACAGATTCCTGGAGGGAAATTTCATCACAGGTGACAAGCCATGATGGGGATGTATCATCTCCAGGCTTAGAAGGAAAGTACTTCAAAATGCCAGATGCAGGGGAGAGACATCAGGAGATAGGTATCGAGTTTGCCAGATGCAGGGGAGAGACATCAGGAGACAGGCATCGAAGCATCTGGTGGGGCCCCTGTGAGAAACAGGAAGCTGAACTAGACAGGCCCCTGGCCTGATCCAGCAGACCTATTCTTATGTTCCTATGTTAACTGGTAATACCACTCCTTAAAACACAATGAAAGCCCTATTAGAGTCTGTATAAGCGACAGCACATGACAATAAAGAGAATGGCAGAAAGTAATGAGTGTGAATACATTAACATCCCCACACACACACACACACACTACATAAAGAGATTAGAAAAGGTTATAGGAGTATACAATGCAGTAGAAGGGGAGCCTGAGTAGGCAACCACAACATTGTTTATGCATGCATCAGGTGCAAGATAAAGCACACAAAATTGTCACAAGATGGAGCCTGCCTTAGAATCCTAAAGAAGCAGGGATACAGAAGGCAGAATGAGTGAAACTTTGTATCTCAAAGACACACTGTACCATGTTTACCTGAAAATAAGACAGAGTCTTGTATTAATTTTTGCTCCAAAAAACGCATCAGGGCTTATTTTGGGGAGATGTTTTATTTTACAGTCATGTCATCTTCTTCTGGTTGCTGCACAATGCTGGAGGGCAGGCTTTCACTTAACTAGGGCTTATTTGGGGGGCAGGGTGTATATGATGAGCATCCCAAAAAATCAGACCACGGCTTATTTTCAAGTTAGGTCTTATTTTGGGGGAAAGAGAATATGGATGGGAGGAAAACAGGAAATTACAGGATGACTTCACATACTAACATGGGAACAGAAAAAAGGGAGTGACTGAATACCCCTGGCATAACTAACTGCAGACCTCTGTATAAAGGAAGCAAGAGATAAATGGTAGAGGGGGACTTCTAGTTGAAGGAAAAAGGATATGTGTGCACAAGGGACCCTTCTGAACCCCACAAATATTTTCCATCAGGGACTGCAAGGGATCATGAGAGGAGAACCACATTTCCAGTCAGTCCCTGAGATGCAGAATTCACATAAAGTGCCCACATTTTTGTTACACAGAGAACAGGGGAAGTCTACTTTATAGTGAAAATCATTGGTCCATCTAGCACAGTAACATCTATGTTGGGGATTAGCAGGGGGGGGGGAATCCTCCAGGTGTTTCTGTGCTGCACCTCCCATCAGTCCTAGCTAACACAGCCAGTGCTTAAGGATAATGGGAGTTGTATCTGGAAGCCCACACCCTTTTCTAACCTGCCGTATGCTGACTTTCACTGGCCACCCTAGGGTCTCGGATGAGGAGTCCTTTCCTAGAAATCTGTAGGCTTACAAACCATGATTAAACGATGCCTCCCCCCAGGCAGCAGCACATCTTGCCTTACTCCTCAAGAGTGAAGCCTTATATTCAGCTTCCAAAAAAATATATATATGCAAGCACAGAATTGCAGGCTGTTTAAATTAAAAAGGAGGAAAAATCTACTTATGTCTTGAGAACTGCCTGTTTTGATTTGGCATAGGTTTTCCCAGGCTAGTACCCACGTCTTCAAAACTTTAGGGCTTTTAAATTCTTAAATATGGACCTTTTAAAAAAATATATGGGCCTTATTCTCCGGAGCTTTCAGAAACAAGTTGCCAGCAAGTTTGGAAAACTCAACAGTGGCCAGAGGATTGGAAAAGATCAGTCTACATCCCAATCCCAAAGAAAGGCAGTGCCAAAGAATGCTCCAACTACCGTACAATTGCACTCATTTCGCACGCTAGCAAGGTTATGCTCAAAATCCTCCAAGGTAGGCTTCAGCAGTATGTGGACCGAGAACTCCCAGAAGTACAAGCTGGATTCCGAAGAGGCAGAGGAACTCGAGACCAAATTGCTAACTTGCGCTGGATTACGGAGAAAGCCAGAGAGTTCCAGAAAAATATCTACTTCTGCTGCATTGACTATGCGAAAGCCTTTGACTGTGTGAACCACAGCAAACTATGGCAAGTTCTTAAAGAAATGGGAGTGCCTGACCACCTTATCCATCTCCTGAGAAACCTATATGTGGGACAGGAAGCAACAGTCAGAACTGGTCATGGAACAACTGAGTGGTTCAAAATTGGGAAAGGAGTACGGCAAGGCTGTATATTGTCCCCCAGCTTATTTAACTTATATGCAGAATACATCATGCGGAAGGCTGGACTGGAAGAAACCCAAGCCGGAATTAAGATTGCCGGAAGAAATATCAACAACCTCCGATATGCAGATGATACCACTCTGATGGCAGAAAGTGAGGAGGAATTAAAGAACCTTGTAATGAGAGTGAAAGAGGAGAGTGCAAAAAACGGTCTGAAACTCAACATCAAAAAAACTAAGATCATGGCCACTGGTCCCATCACCTCCTGGGAAATAGAAGGGGAAGATATGGAGGCAGTGTCAAATTTTATCTTCCTGGGCTCCATGATCACTGCAGATGGAGACAGCAGCCCTGAAATTAAAAGACGCCTTCTTCTTGGGAGGAAAGCGATGACAAATCTGGACAGCATCGTGAAAAGCAGAGAC